CGGCAGAAGCAGCCGTTGCCGGTGGCGCCAGCGCGGTTTCCGACACGAACAGCTTCTGCTCGACCTCCTTGGCCAGAGCCCTGGCAGACGGCGCCGAGGAGGACGACGAGGAAGCCGGCGCGGCCGCCGGCTGGTACGGAGCCGGAGCCGACGAGTGCGACGGCGGAGGCGCCCGGATGGTGACGGGCGTGCTGCGCGCGTAGCCACCGAGAGGCACCGGAACCCCCGGGGAGGGCGCACGGTACACGGCCCCGGGCTGGTACGAGGCCTGGTGGTGCAGCGCCGGCATCGGCTCCCCGTGGACGACGGCCGGCGGGCCCGGCTGCGGGTACTGCGGCGGAGGAGGCCCCGGCCGCGGCGTCATCCCCGGCGGCGGCCACACGGAACCAGTGGCGGGACGGTACGGCGGGGCTCCACCCCCGGCGCCGCCGCCACGGCCAGGGTCGGCGCGGCCGGAGTACGGCGGCCGCTGCTGCTGCTCGCCGCCGCGGACTCCTCGGCCGCCTCCGCCGCGGTGGGCCATGGCAGAGAGATGGAGGATGTAAACGAAATGGAGAGGCTAGAATGGAAGGGAAAGGAGGATTTTATACTTCATAGGCGAAGGAGGGTGATTGACGAGAAACCCTAGACGCGGTGGGAGGGAGAAGAGGTGGTGATCTTACCGCTCGGTGATTGCCGTACATAAGAGTGATTAATTAGGCGGCCGGTTAATCAAACTTGCTACTCAAGACAAATTACATGTCATTATAGAAAATGAATTTATATTTTTTTAATTTGTTTGTTTTTAAGGCAAATTATATGTCATTAAGTTCATCGATCGGGGTGAACTAATTAATCTGGGATTGTTTTGTTAATATATTAATTTCAGTGTTAAATGTATAGAACCAACCTATGAACGTGAAGTTATATATACATGTAGTCAAGTGAACGCCTGTATAGCAATTCATAATGTTCAAGGTTAAACTGCAAATGGCAAAAAAAAGTTCGTCTAGTACTGTAGTATCATCCCATTTGACACCACCTTCTGTTTTGTTTTCTCATAATTATATTGAAGTTATATATGTTTGGAGTGATGTTTGTGATATACATTGTCCAAATTTTGACAAACTAAATACTATAGTAGTGGATAAAAAAAAAAGGCTAGCTAGAAGTGCATGCCTGCCAGCTGGAAGGATCAGATCATTGAAATTAATGTACTGTTACTAAGTATTCTCATTTTCAGCGATCGAGTCTCGAATTGCTGCCACGTAATGCCTCTATCTTGGACCATTTTGATCGCTATGGATATAAAAGGTTTAATTCAAAACCAAGTCGTGTTTTAATTAGTTTCAGGCAGGGATGATCAAGACGAAGCGTGTGGACAGCATCGATTTTTACAGCGCAGTTAGAGATATTTGAGAATTGAGATGTGTATTCACATGTGCAAGGCAAAGCACATGGATGCATGCGGTGAGTGATGGAGTCCACACCTCCAAGACAAGTCACAACTCGATCACAACGGACGGACTTAAAGAAGATTCTGGAGACTGGAGGAACGAATGAGCACCTGAGCAAGTCTCTCTCATGCGCCTTGGAATTATCTCTCGTACGTGCTTGGCCCCACTTGACATAATCACAGCCATAGGTGAAAATATCTTCACTCCGGCTAGCTAGCTTCGCTATTCCCCTACTACTCCCGAGAGAGAGGAAGACCGAAGACCTCATGACATGATCGAGTAGAACTTTACACTGGAAAACCCATATA